GGCGCCTATTTATACTATAGTCGCACCGGTAGTGACGTCATGGCTGTTGCCGGCCAACGTGTTGTTGGTGTTTTTTCAATGTATGCTTCAGACACGGGTCACGACGAGGCGTTCCCCATAGCGAATACCCCATAGCGACCCCTAGAGGACGCTGTTCAAAGTTCCCTTGAAAGGGAACACTGGTTTCACAATTCCTGCCTGGCTTCACCTGTCCCCGATGAACAATCTCCATGGCACTGGGTCTTGTGTGCAAGAATAGGACATTAACCCTAGAAAAGGCATAGGCAATGTAATTTATATCCCAATGTTTATATTTTTAGAATTGCACTATTTGGGGTTTTATAACTACATGTGTATTTTGTGTATGATTCTTTTTGCAATATTTTCTGTTTTATTACTGACTGTCTCTTTTAAATACTGTTCCTCTTGAAAATCATTTTAAAAAAGTGGATATAAATGTGTTGAATATTTTGTACTTATATATCAAAAGTGTACTCAATAAGCCTTGTGCATCATGCAGAATAGTATTCTTAGAAATCTACTGTTGGTTAGATATCTGTAGCTCAAATGGTGTTTAATTTTAATGGATTTTTAAGAGTTATTTATATATATATATATATATATATTTATATATATATATATAGCTTCTTAAATGGACATGCACTGCTCTTTTGTAAGAAAGAAGGTTAGAAACGACAGAGAATGTTTATTTATGGCAACAGAGGCTGGGTGTAGAAAGGCAGGTGTGTAAGCAGTTCAATGGAACAGTTCAATGGTAACTTGGGTGTTGTAATGAGTATGCTTGCCCTTGCAGGAGTCCGTGGAATAGCTGGTAGCTGAATGGATGGTAGCACACACCTCATCGTTGTAAGTACTGGAGTTTGTACACACGGAGACGAAGGAGGATACAGGCATTGGAGTGGAACACAAGGAGGTAAGTACACGAGGAAGGTAAGGATATTAATCATCTTTCGCTGGAGTAGCATAAAGAGTCCACTTCATACAAACGAGACCGGACACTGGAGTGAAGTGAGGTGTGTGCTTATGAAGCCGTCTTGATGAGGGTGATGATAATGAACAGGTGCGTGCAATCAGAACTCAGGTGAAGGTGTGCGCTGTGATTGGGTGGTGAGTGAACCTGGCCATCCGTGACAATATGTGTGTGTGTTTGTGCTTGTGTATGAGGGGCCGTACAAGTGTTTATGTATGTATATACATACTATATACATACATGCATACATATATGCATGTATGTACACTGGTAAAAATTATGTGTTGGATTTACTTAAAATATATATGCACAATTTTTGCATCACACTTTTCAAGTAAACCCAACTTGGAACAATTTTACTTAAAATAAACAAGATAATCTTTGTTACGTGAACTTAAATATTTGAGTTCACTCAACATTCTTTACTTAAAACATGCAACATCATCTACTAAGTAATTTCAAGTTGTGTTAACAACATTTAAGCTCATTTATATTAAAAATATAATTGAGTTAAATCAACATTCTTTACTTAAAAAAATATGTAGCACCATAGAATCTACTAAGTAATTGACAGTTGTGTTTACTTAACATTTAAATAAAAAAATTAATTGAGCTAAACCAACTTAACGTTTTAACTTATTTTAGATCTTCAGCTATTGGTCTGCTTACTGCATTGCTCCAGTACAGTCAATATCTTAAATAAATTAAACACGCAAATCACACAAAATAAAGCATTTCAGTTTATTTTTTGACAGACTGCAAAGCAACGGTTAAGCCTGAAACCACACATCATGAATGTACACCAAAATGTGACAAATAGACAAATGGAAGTTCACTTCCAACATGTCACTTCCTTGATTTTTCACACTTTGCAACACTTCTTAAAGGATTTACATTTTTCCAACATTTACTTTTGGAAAAAAATTCCTAATAATTCTAGAAAAAAAGCATTTTCTTTCTTTCTTTTTGTTTTGATTGTAAGACAGAGATTGCAATCTTCACAAAAGTTCAAAATAGGTCACTTCCTTGATTTTTTATTTTCACCCTTTGCAACACTTCTTAATATATTCACAATTTTCTAACATCTACTTTTGGAACACGCAACAAACATCCTAAGAATAAAACAAGACTGCGATCAAACGTTTGCAGACTAACATTGTACTAGAACCAGATGCGTATGGCTAAACGTGTCTTGTGACAAACATATTTCAAGGCATAATGGTCAGAACAACACAATCAATATCTTTCATTTTAACAAAGAAGCCTGTTCTTCAGAGAGTAAACCTTTGGAGAAAGTTTGCCACTGTCTAGTTCCAGTAGAATCTTCTGAAAAAATTCAAACAAGTACCTGAGCTCTTTGGGGTAACTCAGATTAATTGCATAAATTAGGCCAAGCAGAAAAACACAAGCCTTCGCAACACCTGCCAATCCCGCCATCACCTCTATGCCTTCCAGTACTATCCCAGTCTGTAATGGATCATCTGTTGAGCCACCTTTTGAGATGGTCTTCAGTGTGAGCTGTTCCAGTTCCTCCTTGTTCCCATGAGTATCCTTTAAAAAAAAAACACACACACATAGCAAATGTGTATTTATTTACAACACCACTTGGTATTTTTCAAATTGTTTCTCAGTGCAAAAAAATGCATTGCTATGGAATGACACAAAATGAGACAATATTTTGAAATTGACATTTATATTTTAAAATAAAATAAGTGTCTTATAGCCATTAATTTTATTTCTATCTATTTTGGTTGAATTTAATTAACTGCTATTATATAAGTTGTTTATTTATGTTTGGAGCGTAACTTGGTCGTTGATCGATTTCAGATGCTCACCTGATAATGCTTGATGAGATTCTCAGGATTTTCCAAGAGGTAGACAATTAAGCATCAAATTACAACTTCTCTACGTTGTTCCACAGGGCTGGTCTGAAAAGTAAAACAAAATGTGGCTTGTTATGGTGCATACACACAAAATCACAACTATACAGTGACTCCATATAGTTTGGGAATGAAAGCATTATTTGACCAACTCATCTTTAATGACGGTGAAACTTGTTAAAAGAAAACTGTTGTGTTTTTGGAAATTCTGTGTTTTTTTATTACGGGAGTGTAATTTGGAAAAGCTTAAAAGGTTACCAACCATTTGTATAAATTGTATGTGGGTGTTTTGGGAAAAGTGTGGTGCATGAAATTACTGACAAACACAATTACTGATTTACATTTACATTTACTGATTTTCTGCCCAACATTTCTTTCCCCCACACAAACACAACATATGGTGACTACCCCTCCTTCCCCATCCACTTTCATAGAAATGGAGTACCCTCCAGATATCTCAACTCCTGTATGGCCACCAGCAGTGCGACCTCTGATGCCTGGGGTCTCTGCAGTGAATAACACCCATATTCCATTCAGCCCCATGCATCCTGTGTCCCATATGCTAATGTCTTCTCCTGTTCTGGCTTTTCACCCACACAAACACAACATATGGTGACTACCCCTCCTTCCCCATCCACTTTCATAGAAATGGAGTCCCCTCCAGATATCTCAACTCCTGTATGGCCACCAGCAGTGTGACCTCTGATGCCTGGGGTCTCTGCAGTGAATAACACCCATATTCCATTCAGCCCCATGCATCCTGTGTCCCATATGCTAATGTCTTCTTCTGTTCTGGCTGGCAGCACTCCCGTGCAAACTCTCACCTGGGCACCACAAGTGGCTAACATGCAACTATGCACATCATCCGAAGGAGGATCTCTTTCAAGTGCACAGCACGACCTACCCAACATTCTACCAACTCCTGGAAGAGAAATTCAAAAGTGTACTTCTCAGGTACAAGGGAACTGGGAAAATTTATTTGACTTCATGAAAAGACAAGAAAAAACAGTGAATGATCTTACCCAAGAAATGAAAGCCACTTCT